TGCGCTACAATCCTGAAGGCATGCAGTTTGAATTCACCATCTGCTCTACTGGAGAAGGATGGACAATCTCCTCCTATGTGGTTAACTGCCTCTGAAAACTCGCCAGAGAGTCAGTTATGGGTCGGATCAGACTTGACAGCACAACAACAACAATATATATATAGTTCATACATTAATTTCTAATTTTTATTACTTATGACTAATAAATATATACAGCTTTTACTGTTTGCTGCAAGGAAGAAAAGCACATTTCATTTTTCACTTGCTAAAATTAATAGAGAAATATCTGCCTTGCAGGTCTTCCCACCGGTGAGTTCACAGTGTCCTTGTATCTCAACAACTCTTTCCTGTAGTAGGCTTTATGTGCTAATAATTTATTCAGAACATTGGAAACGCTGTTTCTTTTAAAAAGCAGGTCACTGGAGAACACTGAAATCAGACAAGGCATTAAAACAAATTTAATGAAACTTTCAACAAATGAAACTGGCAGGACACAAGGCTTTGCAGCAGGAAAAGCAGTTTAGATTGCTTATTAAAATAATCTCCTGCTGAGCATTTTACCTCTTATGTTGGTGTCTGTGTCCCCTACTGTCTTGTGTTTGTTAGGCACTTCTAACATAGCCTGTACTGCCTCACAAAGGAAAAAAAAAAGAAGGCAATCCAAACAATAAAAATATTTTTTTAAATAATAAAATGCAGGTAGAGCTGTCTATTGTTTAAATAACAACACCTGGAATCTCTGGCTAAAAAAAAAATATTAAAAAAATTGTTTCAAACAAGCAAGAAGGAGAAGTAGCTGTACTGCTCACCAGGCGCTGGGGGTGGATCAGCATAACATACACAAGGCCCTTTATAGTCTCTTTCCGGCCACGTCTTTCTTTTTTTTACCCAGGTTGTCTTTTTCAATGTAAGAACTATAAATGTGAGGGTTATAATTAGACCCGTAGAGAACTGAACCCATGGTGTTGGGATATATATTATAAAGAATGCACATTGGAAAATGTCTTACACCGACATCAAGATTAGATTCTTTTCACTTTTGGGTACTTTTCATTTATTTTTTATTATTCGGTTCCTTTGGATTGTTTTCCTTTCATCTGCCAGTCAGCCTGGCTGTGGCCTGAGGACTTCCTTCCTCCTCTTTACATTGCTGCCACCACTATCCCATCCAGTCCTCAAGACCTGCTTTGGGGTAGCGTTCCTTCATTTCCTTGTTTCATTGCGAGAAAAAAAAAGTTCCCAATTTAGCACTCTTGAATTGCTGATGTCTTTTCACTCGACTGGAGTATATCCTTCTTAGAGTGTTGAGGTGCTGAGAGATGATGCGGCAGAGAGCTGCATTCTAAATGAACGTTTTTAATATGTCCTATGGATTTATGAATTTATTTACCTGCAGAACTGGCAGCTCTGTTATAAAAAATGACCTTGGCATCACCTCTCCTGAAAACTGCCTTTGAGGCTTTTATGGATTTTGGGATTCACCAAAACATACTTTTTAAATACTGAGAATGAATGGAGGAATATTATAATAACAATAACTTTTCTGAATAAAAACAACAGTAGTAGTGACTGACACTTATGGAACTATGTAATTTACATTCATTTTCTACCAAAATTCTCATAAAAACTCTATGATTATTTTCCCATTTGCTAGTGAGAAGTTGAGGCTGCTTACAAAGGTTAATTTACTAAGGTTGTAAATATCATTTATGGGAGATGAAAATTGTGTGCACATTTTCACTACGCTCATATTATGAGAAGGTGGCCTGGTGGCCTATGTCGTTACATGTTGGGCTATAACTGGAGTCTCAAATCCACTAACTGCTCCGAAGGATAAAGATGAGGTCTCTGCTCCCATTCAGAACCCTGACAGATGGCTACCATCAGCAAGAACTGAAGGGACAACAGGAGCTCTGGATTTCTGGGTTTGAGAGTTTTTCTCCAAATTATTAGGTTTTTAAGCAAAAGTAGTATTTAAGGGTGGGTCTGGACCTCTGGGTCAGCATTTCTCTGCACCCCAGAACGTTAATAAATCTGAATATCCAGTGAGTTTGGGGAGTGCTGCACACCACGCCCCTCCTGGAGCCTCCTTAGCATACTAATGGTTTTAAGATGCCTTGGCAAGAAGGAATCTGACTTACTGAGCATTTCTGAAGGCTGAAAAAACAGCAAAAACCCTCCAGAGACAGTTTGATGCAATACATATTTTATTAAAATGGAATCATCTTAATTTTATGGTTGTCCATTTACTTAAATTTTGAACCAAGACAGTCTTGAATTAAGAATTTGAACTAAGAATAAGGAGATTATGTGAACAGTTGTTGTTGTTGTTGTTGTGTGCCATTGAGTCGCTTGCGACTCATAGCGACCATATGTACAACAGCCCTAAACTCTGCTCTGTCCTGTGCCAATTGCACTGTCTCTGACACTCCCATCCCAATTATCCCAGTCACTGAATCAATCCAC